GCACTGGAAGCTGGGAGCCAGAACTCTGGATTGTTTAAGTCAAGTTAGTTGGGGACCAAAACTTGTACTCATTGTTCTTAATATTTATGGAATTACATTGATATTTTTGGTAAAATTCCTTTGGAAAAACTCCATCCTTCCCTTGACAGAAACCAGCTGAGAAAGGGATATCTCTACTTTGTCAAGGGGGCTTGGAGGACCTGTGGTAGCCAGGTGTGGCGGTTGTGGGCCAGACCAAGTCAGTGAATCCAGAGAGCCCTTGGGGCACGAGCAGAGGCCAAGTGGGCCTGGGCATTCAGGGTCCTTTCCCCTCGTATGAAGCTTAGGTCAATATCTGTCATTCGTGTGGGTCAAAAAAAAGTCATCCTTAATAGTCTTCTCTGTGCTAATTGGTTTTTGTGTTAGACAAACTCTTGTCAGTTTGATTCTCCACACGGCAGGATGGAATGGTGCAAAGAGCCCTGCATTTGGAGTCAGAAGCCTGAGGTTCAGCCCCGGCTTCTCCCTTCCTTTGCTGTGTGACCCCCGGCAAGTCATTGAAGTGGTTTGAGCCTCTACCTCCTAATTAATAAGAGGAGATAGTGGATACTTGCCCCCGACTACCAGGTCATGAAAAGATTGCTTTGTAAACTGTCCAGTGCCATATCAACATGAGGCAAGGCATCGTCTGTCTCCTCGGATGACACCAAACGAATCATGTTTGTCATTGGCGTGCTGTCCCAAAGGCCCACTAGGCTGAGCCTGAGCTCCAGGGTCCTAGATGGAGGGTTGGAAGGGCCCTCAGAGGCTCGGTCTCAGACTGCAGATGAGGAGACTAAGGCCCCCCGAGGTGAAGGGACTTGCCCAGGGTCACACAGGAAGTGGCAGAGGTGGGATGTGAGCCCAGGTGTCCTCTTTGTGATACAGCCCCCTTGTCAGTGGCTTTGTGGCTACACGTAAATGCTCTGGGATAATTGAAAGCTGACTGACATGTGGAGCTGGTGGCAAGCTGCTGAGTGAAATGATCCCCTTTACTCTACACCTCCCTAATTTATGCAGACCCTCCAACACCTCCAGTTCTAACGAATGCCCTAAAGTGTCATTTCCTTGTCCTCAGTTAGCAGGTGGCAGCGTCCTACACATCACAAGCCTCTCTTTCCGCTTTCCTGATCTCCTTGGCTCCTGGTGCCTTCACCCCTCCCTGCCCCCAGTCATTTTGCTTCTATTTCAGCATCTCTCTGTAAAGGGTGTCCTCAAAGACTGAGTGTAGTTTTAAACTATTAAAGCTCATCTTCCCTCATGAGACCGTGAGCTCCTCTCAGGCTGTGACTTGATGCTTTCCTATGTGTCTGCATTGTCTAGCACGGGGGCATGGTCAGTGCTCGCTGACTGATTTCAGCCTCGGCTTGGAGTGAAGACACCTAATCTGTCCCATGCTAATGGGGAGCAGGGTTCATTATCTATAGCAATCCCGGCTCAGCTGCGGTGGCCAGCGGGATGCCCCTACACCTCATCTTTACCCATAAGAATTGTTGTTTTAAAGCTAGCTCGGGGGTGGTCTGGCTCAACATCAAAGCAGACACGGTGTAAAAGGCCAGCTGTGCAGGCTCATAAAGCAGGCAGCCAAGCCTAGTAAACGAGGGAGCCCCAAAGAAAAGGAGAACAAAATGAAATGAAAGACAAGAACAGTGGTTTCTCTGCACTTCGATCTTTCTAGGATGCCCCTGAAGCTGGGGGCATACAAATGCTATCTTTTGGTGAGGTTTCTGAATGATGTTGGGGATCTGGGTTCATTCGCCTTCCCAGCATCCCCCACTTAATCAGAGAGTGCCTTTAATTTAATCCTGGCTCCTGCTGTCTGTAGCTCTTCTCTGGTGCTTATGTGCCGGTGGATGTCAGAACAGAGAGAGCTACACATCTCTAAAGAGTTCCATGCCTTTGACTGCGTCCGTCCGTCCATCCATCCATCCATCGTGCACATACATTGAATTAACGAATCAAAGGGCTTTTCTCTTGGCTCTTAGCTGCTTGCTTCCTTTCCTGCATTGGAATTCAAGCCTAGGCAGGCACATGATTTTACAGAATGACATTTAAGAGAGTTGTGTTTCACACCTGGGCCTCTGGAACAACAAAAGAAATTGATTTTTAATGTCTCTATCTCACTAGGAAGCTAGTTTATGAAAAGCCGTGGAACAGGGAATTAGATAGCATCTCTTTTATCTGGGATGATTTAGTTAGTACTGGTTGGAGCCAAAAGGTCTCTCTTAAACATCCCACACACACTATAAAAGTCACCCTAGAGACAGGAAGAGACCACAGAGGTTGCAGCCTATGTTTTGAACCAAACAAAATTAGGGTTAACTGCTTCCGGGGGGGGGGGGGGGGGGGGGGGGAGTTTATTGTTGTGGGGGGGAAGTGGCGGTGGTAGGCCCCACCCGTGATTGGTATCTGCCTCTCTGACATGTAGACATTAAAGCCAGCTTGGTTTGTCATGGAAGAACTGGGGGGGGGGGGGGTGCATATGTGGGTGTGGGTGTGTGTGTGTGTGTGTGTGTGTGTGTGGTTGGGGGTGGGAAGAAATTTGGAAAGAAAAAAACAAAGGGGATTTGTCCTCCCAATAATAGAATTCACCAGCAGCTACTAGTTACTATTTTAGAGTGAGAGAAAAATGCTGGTTTGTTGTGGGGAACATCATTCTCTTTAACTGCTACCAGAGAGAAGGGGACAGGATGAAATTGGTCTGTTTAACAAGCCCAATCTGTGATTTCACTGGTACGGTGAAGGGCTGGGGAGGAAACCTCTGGCAGTGCCTATGAGCACGTTCCCTGCAGTGTCCTCTTAGAGAGTTGACTAGACCACTGAGAGGTTTAATGACTTGCCTGAGGTCACATCTCTTTCCTCCTGCCCCAAAAACCTCTTTATCCCAGAAGCTCACTCCACCCATAGAATTCACACATTGAAACTACACTCTGCCCTTTCAGCCTCTCCCTGGACTGGATGACTCCTACTGGAGCCTAAGTAAGGAGGGTGCCCAGGCCATCTGTGTCTCATTCCTCTCTAGACCCCTCTGTGGCCTTTGCCTGCCATGCCTTTGTGAGGCTACCTCTATCCCCGTTGTCCCCTTTCCCCACCCTTCAGCTTCTTTTACACATTGGCTTCCCCCTTTAGAGTGAAAGCTCTTGAAGGGCAGAGCCTGTTTTTCTTTATGCTTAAATTTGTCTTCTCAGTATTTAGCACAATATAAGTGCTTAATAAATGTTTGTTGACTGACTGATTCAACCTGTGTGTGTCAGAGATGGGTTTTGAACCCAGATTTTTCTCATTCTGAAGTTGGCACTTTCTATCCACAGTCCACTGCTTCTCATTTTTACTCAGCCGATGATGATAACACTGTGTTAGACCCAAGTCATGGCGGGTCCAACTCCATGTTGTTTAGTCAGGGATGCACCAATTAGGCAGTCAGGGAGTCAGCAAGCATTTGTTAAGTTGTTATCTGTGTATATCAATATGTAAAACCATACTATGCATGCTTTTGTTATCAGTTCTTTCTCTGGAGGTGGATAACTTGTTTCCTCATAGGTCCTGTGTAGTTGATTTGAGTATTTATAATACTCAGAATAGCTTGTCATTCACTGTTGTGCTTTGAATAGTATTGCTGTTATGGTATCCAGGTGTTTTTTGGTCCTGTTCATTTCACTCTTCACTATTCCAAGTGGGGCAATTTAAGCTGGAGAGAGGAGAGATAGGATGGAAATGATTGTTTCTCCTGATATGCTGGGAGTAAAAGGGGGAAAGACAGGTCAGGGACACCTCTGGGCATTGGAAAAAAAAAATACCAGGTACTTGCCATGGCCTCCACGTTGTGATGATTGATGTAGGGGACACAGACCCCTATCCTTGGGGAGAGTATAGTCTCATCTGGGAGGCGAGACCTGTAGTACGTAGGGACAGCACATGTAAATTGCTAAATTGAATATAATCTAGTACCAGAATTTCTGGCGTGGCCAGCCGTGAGGGGAGCCCAGATGAGGGGGACTGCCATGGGAATGGGTGGAAAGGGCAGATCTGACAGACGGAGCAGAGCAGTCAGTCGACAAGCCCTTCTTGTCCTCGGTATGCCAGGCACTGTACTGGCTGCTGGGCAGAGACAGAAAAAGGAGAATTGGTGGTAAATTGGGGAGAGAAGTTAGAGCAAGAGACGGCCTAAGGTCGAGTTCAGATTTGGGGTTAAGGATTGCTGTAAGTGTTAGGTCCAGTTAGATTGGAGACATCAGACTTTGTTTATTTCACAATGTGTGGAGGAAAAGTAAGATGGATGAAGGTAAGGGGTGGCCTGGGAAGGGGAGCAGGGCGTCTCCTTCTGGGTTCTGCTGCAATTTATGTCACACACTCAGAAGCATTCTAAACAAAGCCCTTTACCCCAGGCCTCTACTAACTCCTTCTAGAAAGTGAGAGGACCTGTGCCAGTTAGGTCTTGAGGGGGTCATGAGGAGAAGCAAAGGCCATGTGTCATCATTAGAAACACAAGGCTCATCTTCCTGCTACAGACTGCCCTTTGGATGTACCTCGGACGGCGGGCGCCACCAAAGCTATTAGGGGACTGTTTAGCGTTCCCAAGACTGGAGGACCTCGGGACAATCAGAGGGAAACTGATGTTTAGGGGGAAGGAAATAATTTATAAAACACAAATTGTTATTTATCATTTACGGAGGCTGAGACACAGTTCTGGTCAGATGCCCATTTTCTTGGCATAGGAAACATCAGCAGGGTGAGCTTCGGGCACAGTGAGCTCTGGGAGTTACGTGCCTGACATTTTAGAGTGTGTTGAGCAGAGTGTTTATTGGAAACATCAGCAGTTGGTTCATACCCGGTGGGGACCCCTGCCTTTTGGAGGGAAATTGACTTTCCTTGAAAATGTCTGGCTTTGAATTTTAACCTTTAAATTCCTTGGGGTTCCCACAGTGGTGAGGAGGGGTGCCGCCTCCTGGCTGTTGCTCACCTGTCATACTTCTCCCTGCTAGGTCTTCCGAGTGGTCAGCATCTGCTTGGGCACCCCACCAGACAAATTTACCTGGGAGTATCGAGACAAGGATAAGACTTATCATAAGATTGGACCCATCTCACCCTTGGAGTTCTACAGGGAACACGTCAAGCCTGTCTTCAACGTGCAGGACAAGGTTGGGGACTGTCGTTAGTAATGGCTGGCCTTTGCCCAGAGGGCGGGTCCCGGAATCTGGTTGTCCATGTCTGGCCTACAGACTAGTCCAGAGGTGGGGAATCTGCAGCGTTCAGGCCACAGGTGCCCCACCCCTGGACAAGAAGCTCAGCTCGCCTTATCTGAAGGAAGCTTGTTTTAAACTTGCTCCACAGCTACATTCCACACTCACTTCTGGTGGTCCAGGTCAGGGTCATCCCTCAGGCCTTGCCAAGTCCTGTCTCCATAGATTCCTTTGACTTGCACAGGCTGAATAATAGGATTATGAGTGAGTGGGCTGAGAGTGACCTCCTCCCTCATGGAAGGTAGCCGTGGTTCTTTCTTGTTTTTCTACTTCTTCTGGGTCTTTCCCACCTACTTAGCAAAAAGATTCCCCCCTGGGGAGTGTCCTCCTTCTGTGTCCTAATGGCTTCTTTCTTTAGAGTTGGGACTTTGGCTTTTTGAAGTCAGCTGGATGTTGAACTTACTCTGAGATCACCCCCTTATCATAATTAGTGCTTGTTGTTTGGGAGAATTGTTTTGGGGAAGCCATTGCCCAAAATAAAGAGGTAGAACCCTCGAAATGAGTCCGAGATGAGAAAAATAGACTCATATCCATTTGTTCAAATCGCAGGCCACCTTTGGGGCCTCTCCAGGACTCCTTATGTTGTCTTTCCTTGATTTGTGTCTTATTTCATCATGTGGTTGTGGGATCAGTGTCCTTCGGGGTTGCTGGGAGCTGGCCTGAAACAGATGGGCTGGCCCGGCTCTCTTGACGTAATCTGGTTTGTGTTTGATGAACGCGTCCTTGGCCTCCTCAGATTTGTCTAGTGAATGACCCTCGCAGTCAGCATAAGTACAACAGGCTATACACCGTGGAGTACTTGAGCAATATGGTTGGTGGCAGAAAAACCTTGTACAACAACCAGCCCGTTGACTTCTTGAAGAAGATGGTGGCAGCCTCCATTAAAGAAGGAGAGGTGGGTGTTGGCCTGGCGTGTCTCTCCCTCTTCCTTCTTCAGTCTGGGAGGATCTGGGGATGGAGTCTCTGCTGAGTCTCCCCTTTCTTCTCTTCCTAGGCCGTGTGGTTCGGCTGTGATGTGGGAAAACACTTCAACGGGAAGCTGGGCATCAGCGACATGCAGATGTGAGTGCAGGCAGGGCGGTGCATTGCAATCTCGCGTCCTAGGGTTTGGTGGCCTGGGCGGGCTTAGCCATAGGCGTGGATTACCGAAAGAACATCGCCTCGTCCTCCACCTTCTAGACGAGGCTTTTGGGTACCAGAGACCCCTTGGCAGACAATCTGTGGAAGCTTATGGACCTCTTCTCAGAATTGTGTATTTAAACACATAAAATAAAATACGTAGAATTACAAAGGAAACCAGTTATATTAAAATATGGTTATCAAAATGTTAAGGACAAAAATCACCCCCAAGTTCGTGGACCCTCAGTTGAGAACCTCTGCTTGAGAGCCCAGAAGATCAGAGCAGAAACTCAGTTCAGCCTCGTGTGTGCTGAGGCTGCTTCCTATGGAGTCAGGAAGGCCGGGCCACCTCCCACCTCCCACCTCCCACCTCCCACCTCCCACGCTTGTCAGCTATGTGCCATCTCTAAGCCGACCTGTTGTGAGGCCCACGTGAGGCGATGCTTTTAAAGTACTTGGCCAGGCATGGGGGGGGCACCTCGGAGGCCGTGTAGGCTCATTGTACAAATGAGGAAATTGAGGCCCTGACAGGGTGCGTGATTTGTCTGGCATGACACAGGAAGTAGCTATCAGACCTAAGACTTTGGGCTCTCCTGAGCCCACAGCCAAGGCTATTTCCACTGGAACACACTGTCTCTGACTTCTCTGGCTTCGAGATTTGGGGGAATACATTTAGCCTCTTGGCTCTTTGGCAAGTGCCCGCACATGGCATAGGGAAGACCATTTCGGTGCCAAGCTGCCTAATGCGTTCCCTCTATAGAGAACCTCAGAAGAGCCCCTGGGGCTTACCTATGGATTCTGCGTGCCCCTCCCAAGTAATGGCCAGGGCTTTTTAGGGATAACGCTCCTTTCCTTTTGTGTCCTCATCTTTTTCTTTTTTTAAATGTGCCTTGTTTGCAGCTATGACCATGAGCTGGTGTTTGGCGTGTCCTTGAAGAACATGAACAAAGCAGAGAGGCTGACTTTTGGTGAATCCCTGATGACCCACGCCATGACCTTCACGGCCGTCACGGAGGTATGCCCGTGCCCCTCCGCCCTCCTGCCCCCTGCCGCTGGTGGTGTTTGCACAGATGGATTTGAATTCTTTCTCAGCCGTTAGTCTGACACAGCTTCATTCAGCAGTGTGTGTGTTGTTCTGGAAAGGTCGGCTTCCAGGCAGGATGTCACACCTGCGTCTCTTGGGGCTTGGCCGGGTCCTCAAAGGCACAAATAGGAACTTTCCAATGAAGTGAGGAGCGGAATTTGGGTCAGAGGGAGGAATTAGTGTGCCTCCCCCCAGCCCAGCCTGCAGACATTCTTGGTTTGCAAGAGGTTGGGAGTGAACTTGGAGACAATTCTTGTTTTCAAAGAGTTAAAATAAGCTTTGGATGGAGTGTGCAGGAAGTGCTGGCCTCGTGGTCCTTTTCTACCCTAACTCACCCTGCTTTTATTAGGGCTTCAGGGTTTTCCTAAAATAGAAATGGATAAGGATAACGTGTCCTTTGTATACATCCCTGATTCCTTGGTGTCCTTCAGGGGAGTGGGCAAAAAGCCCTTGGATGTCTCCGCAAAGGATGCTGGGATGCAGTCCTCACAGTTGTGATGGTTTCTAGAATCCATTGCTCCAGATGAACCTGGCCCAGAGTGGTCGCTTGTGAGGCAGCCTTCTCATGAGCAGCCTGTGCTGGAATTGCTAGAGAGAGACCATAGGGTTTTTTAACCCCTTTTATTCCTAGTCCTGTTATTAGATGGGCAGTGATGTGGTGGGGTGGATTGGGCCCTGGACTTGGAGTCGGGAAGACCTGGGTTCAGATCCTGCCTCAGACACTTAGTTGCTGTGTGGCCCTGGGCAAATCAGTGAACCTTTCTTCATCTCAGTTTCCTCATTTGCAAGTTGGGGAAAAAGAATTAGACTCAACCCTCTGGCTTCTAAGGTCCCTTCTGGCTTTAAATCTGTGATGTGTGATCTCATCTAAGAGTATGTTGGAAGTAGGAGGATGGAGGAGAAAGTGACTCTGTTTCCTTTGGAGGGATCTATCGAGTTGATTGATTGATTGATTATATACATATTTGTGAGCACCGCTCCCTGTATACAAAACACCAGGTGTGGTTGTGTGCTGGTATGGCCCCATGCCTGCCCTCAAGGAGTTTAGGATTATGTAGGCTGGAAGAGAGGGGCTTGGACCATGTGGTCTGTGAGGCCCCTGGGTGCTGGGATCCAGGCTTACGGAATACTCTGGGCCCCAGTATCTGCTGAGCTGTGGCCAATTGTGGAGTGTTATTATTGGGGATAAAGTTATAGAGGGACTCATCTGTCTAAGAAGGGGTTTGTAATTATTTGTTGCACTGGGCAGCTTCTGCTTTGGCCTTATGACATCTACTTTGGGGGTCAATTGTGGCACTGGCTTCTGTTTCTGCCTTTGTTTTTGTGGGGATGCGGACACACCTCTTCACCCCCTTGGTTCTCATCTACGTCTTGCTTAGAATTATAAAACTGAAGCACTTTAGAGCTGCCTCCATCCTCTTCCCTTCAATTGCTGGACAAGGTATTTGGAGCCCAAAGCGGGGAAATGACTTGTTCAAGATGGCCCAGCCTGTTAGTGGCAGAATGAGGCAACCTCGGGTTGCTCTTTCTGCTCCGCAGAGCTGGAAAGGACTTGGATGAGGCCAGGGGTCAAGACTGAGCTGCCTTTGTGTTTTCAGTAGGAGATAAGAGGCTTTTTATAAAAAGCTAAAGGATTGAAGCTGCAGTTGTGGAAATGTAGGCCTCAGGGAACAGAGGAGAGAGGCATGTTTGGGGGTAAGGAGGCCTTCCTGGTGGCCCTGGAATCCCACCATGTCATAAGCACGGAGTCATTGCTAAGACAAGACAAGAAAGACCTTTTTTCATATTGTATGTGCATGTAACTGGGCATAATCCATCCTTGCTGTGCTATTTCTTCTCAAGGTAAGAGTAACAGGGTTGTCAAGTGAGTTTATCAGATTACCTCCAGGGATTACTTTTTTTTTTCTTTTTAAGAACTAATCTCCTAATGTAGCTAACTATTGGTAACCTGTTACGGTGACAGATGTTCTTAAGATGTGGGCTGGGGGTTTTTCCTATTGTTTTGTAAGGTCACAAATTGCAGACCTGTGAGCTGCTGTTACATAAATAATTGTGAAGAGTCAGATTCTTCTTAAGTATTAACTTCTTGCCAGGAAGCCAAACAGTCCAATAGCAGTATTAACCTCCAGGCTGGTGATAGCATTGATGGTCACCATTGTGCACAAATCTGAGAAGACAATGGCATTCTGGCTTTGAGTGGATTTCTTCACACTAAAAAGAAAATGGAAACTCCAGCCCCTGCAGAGTTGTGGTGGGATGGGGGTGCCGTGCTCATGGACTCACACGGCTTCAGAAACGAGGACAAAAGTTGGAGGCTGAAGCCCCCAAAGGCTTGGGGTGTGTGTGTGTGTGTGTGTGCGTGTGTGTGTGTGTGCGTGTGTGCGTGTGTGTGTGACAGATTAAATCCCATAACTGAAACAGCAGATGAACATTTGGGTTACACAAAAAAACATAGATTTGAGCACTGAGAAGAGGTTTTAAGTAAGAGCTGTCTTTTCCATTAGAGGTAAGGGGTTGGAAGCAATTTTTCATGAATAAAATATTGAATAAGTTGCTCACGTTTACATGTTTGGACATGCTGTCTTATGAAATTCACTGGATTTATAACTCCCCACTAAAGGCTTTTGGTTAAAGGGAGATTTTTGTTTGAAGAGTGTGTGTGTGTGTGTGTGTGTGTGTGTGTGTGTGTGTGTGTGTGT